GAACATCCCAACGTCAGCTTGAGCGGTGCTGAACAAATACAACCTCCTAGGAGCCAGGGCAAGAATTTACACTGCTTTACAGTTTACACTCTGTATGAGAATGTTGTTTTTCACAATGCTTCCTTGATGCAGGCAATGGCTTGGAGCAAACAGCTGTTAAAATTAGCTTGTTTTTGTCTGTCTGATGCATTGTACTTGAAAGCTTTGGACTTCTGCTGGAGAAACGCAAAGCCAGTGACCCTGACATAACACACAACACTTTTCTTGCTTTGCAGATGCTACCAGATGGCACATGGGCCAGCAAATATGGCAGTGAAAACCACCCTTAGTGAACAGCCTGAGTCCTCACCCCTGTAAGCAGCGAGTATTTCAGAAACACAAATGCTCTTGCTCTTGTGCTGCGCCCTGCAACCCAGTGCAACCACCCCAGGACCACGTCTAGTCCCTCTGGACATGATGTTCAGCCCATGCTTTGCTCCTGCCCCTCCGACCTGGGTGGACAGGGGGCTGCACTGGTGGCTCAGACACGTTTCCAGCCCCAGCCACCGCGGCCCTGGAGGCCCTGCAGCCAGTTCCCCAGGACATTTGCAAATTTGCACAAACCAACAGATTTATACTTTTTCATGACATACCACTCTCTCAATACACTAATTAACAGTAACAACACATTTTTCATTTGTAACAACCGATTTTGATAACCAGGTAAACTGTTGAAGGTATTTGTTTTCCCCCCCCCCCCCCGAGAAAACTGTACTTACGTGGCAATGACTGACCTGCACTGAAGTCAGAGACACCTGTACGTGCTCCTTTCAAACCCTTGTCCCTGTCACCAGAAACCCAGAGAATTGTGCCCACCGACAGATAAATCAACAGGCTGTGTATGATAATGTAGACAACAACCTCCTCCTCACAGTAACAGTTAACAATGATGTATAACGTTAAATTATTTCTTTTGTTCTCATGGATTTTATACCCTGACAATGCTTGCAACTGTAAGCATGTTTATTACCTTTCCTTTATCACTGCAATTCATTTATCTGCTCATTTATCTTCTTTATTATTTCCTTTTAAAGAAACCTTTCTATTCCCAGCCACTTTATCTGTTTTGATTTCCTTCCTGTTTTTAAACATCTGTCCAGAAGTGCAAACTGTGTTCCAGATGAGGTCACCAGGCATACAAAAGATGTTATTGTCAGTAAACATGATACTGAGAACATCTTAATTGAGTCAGCTATATTTACTTACTAATATTAAAAGCAAATGCAAGATTAACTTCATACTGAAACCTAAAATCTTTGCCTATGCTTCCCATCAGAAATCTTCACTTGGACACTCTGGCACAGAAAAATACCTTCTGACACCTCTTTGAGAAAAAAATAAAGATTCTGCCCTGGCAGGGCAATGACCCAGCTCCTCAGTCTGTATTTCTCCAACCTTTCAGTGCTTCTCCAAATACAGAGGCTGTTGGGGGGGGTGGTTACCAGATGAGGAAGTTTTTTGAGGACACCTGGTTCACGGCCAGCATCTCTGGAGCACGCCCGTTCCCCTTCCTCGGTCCGTCCTTACCTCCTGCTCATCCCAGAACCACCAGAATCAAAGGGAAAATGATACTGGAACTCTGCCCAGGACGGAGATCCCAAAGCCTCCCTGGGCCCCTGACTTATCAGCGTTTAA